GTGTGTGTGTGTGTGTGTGTGTGTGTGTGTGTGCGCCTCAGCAGATTTTTTTGTGTTTTTTTAGTCCTCATGGTGCCATCAGGCCAACAGCCCACCCTGCCACCCGAGCAATGGCGCAGAAAGCCTTTCAGCGCACACGCAGACACATTATGCGTCATTTTATCACAGGGAACAAAACTGAGCTGAAACGACGTGACGGGATGAAAAGTTTTTGACCAAAGACAAACAGGAAGTCGGAGAGGTGATTTCAGTAACAGGACGAGATGCATCAGAATTAAATCTGCGCGTTTCTCTGATAAAACACAAAAATCTCAGAATAAATATTTCTCCTCCCTGTATTTACATATTTTTTCTTTTAGAAACGTGCATCAGTAAATGTCAAAATGTTCTTGAGTGCAGGTTCAAAGACTTTTTTTTAAATTTGGTATCAAGATTCAGGATTATTATTGTTTTATCCTTGAAAATATGTTTTATATATTTTCCCCTCTGTGTGCGGCATGCAGAGCACACACTTTTGGAAAAATATTTATGTGAAAAAAAAATAGAAAAAGTCGTTATTATATCATCTTTTAACACTTTTGATTTAAAAATACAGTTTTATTTCAGCTGCTCCCTTTGGCACAGCGAGTGAAAGTTTTGGCACACGTTTTACGCATGGATGCTGTTACCTCACGCACCCGGGACTCGAACCCACAACCTCTGCTTTACAAGACAGCGGCACTGATCACGGAGCTTACCACAGCACAATGTCAAGACAAATAATAATAATTTTGTTGCACAGTGATCAAACTAAATGGGTCATCACGCTTTTTAGTAAACTTAATGAATTTTTCGTTTTCATCAACAAACTTCAGATTTGTTCAGATTATACACAAATTAAAAACACAAAAATACAAAAATGATATGTTTAAAATTCCATAATTTGATTCAAAAATAAATTAGTCGGTAAATCATCTTTTAAAAATGGGAATAAAGACTGAATTTCAATTACTGCCATATTCATTCAACAGTGTTGTTACGTTATAATTAAATTATCAMGATATAATAACTTATTGAGTTTAAAATTGTATGTTTATTCTGCGCTTTTTTTTATCTCCGTGTTTCATGTGTTTAGTTGTGCTCATGTGCAGCTAATTCTCAACACGAGAAACAAGACAGAGAATAAAAATCTGGCTGTAAATAAGCCAACATTTTGGAACATACAGATAATTCCTCAGCTTTTTTCCTCCCTCGAATATGCACCGTGTTGAAATGAATCTGTACTGAAACTAATCAGCCACTGTTTTATTTCATTTTTTCCCATTTCTAATTGAGCTTAAATAAAACTGAGATTATAAATAGATAAATAAAACCTAAACCTGAGCGACTTGGTGCGCACCTGCTGCTGCTCCCAGGTCCAAGACCGTCCCGGATCAGACCTGAGTGATCCTGCAGGGTTCAGAACTTTTCCTACAAATTATCGGAAAGATGTTGCGTTTACGTACCGCAATAAACCACCGGAAATGTTGCTGTCGTCGATTTTTAAACACTTTATTCGGATTCCAGATTATTTTTTTCACTGCAAGAGTTTTGAAAAATTCCAGCACGTTATTTTTTTCCCACTTTGTGTTTAAATTTGTAAATAATTTTAGTTATATCCAACACAATCAAAGATATATGTTTTGAATCTGTGCAAACACAAACTGATTTACCTTTCAGGGGGAAGTTTGGACTGAAACGAGTCACTCTTCCTGCATCCCTCATGTCAGTTTAAGCTCCTAAAAAAATCTAAATWAAAAAAAACTTCATCAAAACTTTGCAGAACTTTTCCCCCTCCACCCCGCTGAAGGCAGCGTGACGTCGTTTACAGTGGCCAATCAAAGGAAGCCTTTCCTCCTCTCTGGGCCAATAGGAGCGGCCGAGGAGCGTGTGTCAGTCACAGGTGAGGGTGTTTGGTTAGAAAAAAAAGAAGTGGGTGAAAAGGGCCGGGGAGCTCAGAGAGCCTGAGCTGATGGCAGAGCTGTGGAGCGGAGCWGCATCGCCTCTGCGGATGTAGCAGAAAGTTTGTATTTTTGTTTTTCCCGCGGGGACGCGAGCAGAAACCCCCGCTGTGACGCGCCAGCAGGGAGAAGTCCAAAATGTGGATGAACTGACATTTACTTCCACCGAGACCCGAGCTGATCACTTCACTTGAAAACCGAGAGCTCGTTTGAAAGGAAGGAGGGAAAAGATGGCCGTTCGTGGCAACTCGCTGATGCCATTTTCCATCCAGGCGATCCTGAACAAGAAGGACGACCACCGACACTTGCCAGATGTGGACGTGTGCTTCTCCAAGACGGCGTGCTGGAAAATATTCGGGGGCATGAGCGGAGGATCGGGGGGAAGTAACATCAACGACGATGATGATAACGACGATGATGATGATGGGGAGCCGTGTGAGCAGAAAAGCTACGACTCGGACTCGGGGCTCAGCGACGACACCGAGAGGAAGACTCCGGCGGAGCGCAAAGCGGAGAAGGACGGAGAGCCGGGCTCGGATGTGCCCGAGGAGAGTCTGCAGGAGGAGACGGACCACGAATCTGCAGCTGCGGAGAACGTAAAGAGCGACACTGAGCCCAGCAATGCCACGGGTAAGTCAGGTCCGATAGAGTGGAGAAGAAACAGAAAGCTAAGTTTGACTCCGACTGGATCCAAAAACGGGCAGTTTTAACTCCAAATGCACTTTGATTGTTGAGTACATATGTTATATAAAGTTGTGAGGAACCATATTGTATGTTGCCATTGTGTATACCAGGCCTAATTTAAAGGGAAAAAAAGAACCTGTCCACACCCGACTAGCTTTTACGCACGAATTATCCTTTTTACGCACGAATTATCCTTTTTACGCACGACATATCCTTTTTACGCACGACTTTCAACAGAACACGTCGTCCATTTTAAGTCCCACTTTACAATCCCACTATCAAATCTGTAATGTTTGTATGAGTAAATATTTATTTTTGGATATGTAATTTAGCAAACTTCTAAAAATACGATCCTCAAGATAGTTTTGAAAATAWATATTTTTGCAGAAATGATTTGATTGTAAATGCTAAATAGTGGTTTGTATTTTGTGTTGTGTTTGTTGGATGCGTCTTCTTGATCAGGTGTCTCCTAAAAAAACAAGTTTTTATGCGTGATGAGATTTTTACATGATTAAATAAAAGATATCTTATTATATAATCTATTTGCATTTTTACCTCACGAGTTCAAATAAAATTGCACTTCTTCAAACTGACCATTAAAAGTAAACAATGAAATCTGCTGCCTCTTTTAGATAAAGAGACGGTTTTATTTCTGTGCCTTCACCCCTCCTGAATGCAAATTTGTGAAATCACATGCACGCTCCACCTGTGTGTCTCCTTCGCCCCAGACTCCAGCAATCTGGACGAGAAGAGCCTGGATCAGCCCAAGCAGCGGAAAAAGCGCTCCAGGGCCGCGTTCTCCCACGCGCAGGTCTTCGAGCTGGAGCGCCGCTTCAACCACCAGCGGTACCTGTCCGGGCCGGAGCGCGCCGACCTGGCGGCCTCCCTGAAGCTCACAGAGACTCAGGTCAAGATCTGGTTCCAGAACCGTCGCTACAAGACGAAACGCCGGCAGATGGCCGCCGACCTGATGGCGTCCACCCCGGCGGCCAAGAAGGTGGCGGTGAAGGTCCTGGTGCGGGACGACCAGAGACAGTACAGCCCGGGAGAGATCCTGCGGCCCCCGCTGCTCTCCCTGCAGCCCTCCTACTATTACCCCTACGCTTACTGCCTCCCCGCATGGACACTGTCTGCGTGTGCGGGGAACCAGTGAGAACCCACCGACTGTATTTATTCTTTTTTATTATTATTTCTGCTCCCGGGAACCAAACAAACGTTATGTTTTTCTGACACGAAGAGGGGACCTGAGGGGGCTGTTAATCAGCTCTGCGCCTCTGAACAGCTTCACTGTGCAACACGAGGGGTTCACAAACCCCCTTTTTTTTCATGGGTTCACAATTCYAAATATATATATTAAAAAAATACTTATTTTAGTAAGAGTCTGTTTTGAATGACCCCAGTTTAAAAAAAAACCTGATTTAGGCTGAAAAGCTGTAAATGTCTGAGCGGACAGACAGAACCTCCTTATAAAAGATCTGTGTGGACTGACATGGTCAAACAAAAATAAAAGCAGCCTATTCCTCTGTTTGCTGGAACCCCCCTCCAGGACCTCTGAGGGCCCCCGGACCCTACTGTGGGACCCAAATAGACTTAAAATAACATCTTGTGTTGGTTCATATTTTACATGCGCCTTTCTACCTCTGCAGTGATTGGACAAAAAAATATATTCCGTTGACTTTTCCAAAAAAAAAACTCTGTTACAGGTTGTGTGTCTGTGTGTGTGCGTTTTTTAATTCTTGCTGTGTTTGTAAAAGGTAAGATATTTAAGCACTTTTCTGCATATTTGTTCCATTATTTCTGAGTAAAACGCATGCAGTGTGGGCATGTTGGTGTCACAGTGAAAATTGTTGGCCTCGGAGTGGCACGAAGGAAGCAAGAGGAAACAAACCGACTCCTGGTTGAAAATTGACCTGTTTGTGTTTTTTTTATTTTTTTTTTTGGACTGATTTGATTGAATTACATTAAAAAACATATCAGGCATTGCTTGCATCTGGATGCATTTTTATTTACTGAGACGGAAAAAAAAGTATTTAAAAGCTTCTTAACGCACGCTCTGACTTATATTCATTTTTTTTGTGGTCAGATAAATGCACCAAAACTTTAATTAAAACAAGAGACAAAAAATATCGATATATGAGAGATTTCACTGTTTGATTTTAAATATTTTTTCTGTAGTTTGAGACGAGAAAATGAGTCCTTGTTGATTCCACCTGGACCATCGTGAGTTTTCTTCCAAACACACCTGTCAGACAGTCTGTCAGACAGTGATGAACAGCTCTGTGATTCCCGGGCAGGACAACTGACAGATACCTTTAGGACCGTGTGTCAACACAACGACATGAGCACTCCGGGGTCAAGGAGGTCCCTGTCACTGCGCCTGTTTCAGGAGAAAAGGCGGTGGTTTGTGCTCTTATATTGTTTTTAAATTAGGAGAGACTTGAACTCGTGTTTTCCCCTAAATGTAGGTCTTGGAACTGAAATATTGGAGTCAAATCAGTTCTGGTTCTGTGTTCAGGGGTTTATATCTGCTGCACATCAAAATGTTTTATATTTATGAAACGATCTTCATCGATGCCACAATAACAAATGAGCCTAAATCTGAACCCGGTCAGTGTCGGGTTCATCTCTGTCTGTTTTTTAGTGCAGTTTATGTTCTAAATCCTGTTTTGGCGCGTGCACACCCACAGGCCACGTGATTGCTATACCTCCGCGCGGCTGTTATAGGTCCCGGTAGGACAGACTGATGGGTRGACCGGCTCACATGCTGCCTGTCAGACCTGCATGTTTTGGATATTTCTGATGGACGCGTCGCGGCTGTTCTTCCTTTCAACTTTGGAAATGCAAACACCCTCATCAGAGAGCAGCAGCAGCACCATCTCCTCTGGCATTTGGATTTCTTCACGTTTCCTTTTACAGAATCTGACGCACGCCCAGAGGCTCCTCCAAAAAAAAAAAAAAAAAAAATCACACTTTCATGTCTCTTTTGCGCAGATTTTACGCATCAATCACTTTTCTTTTCCTTCTTTGCGCGTATTGAAAATCTACATTGTCAAACATTTTAGTTTAAGTTGAATTTACGCAAAGAAAAAAAAAATCGACCAAATCAATTTGTTGGATTGATCTTTGCAAAAATAATTTTAAGTGTGGAAGCTCCAGATGTTTTTTTTTTATAAATTACACTAAATCTAGTACTAAATGCGTCTTATGTTATTTTATTTTGTGCATGAATGGGCTACAGAGACATAATGTTCCTATGATGATTTTAAGCCCATTTTGTTCCTTATAATTGGATTAAATTGTGAACTATATGGAAAACTGTAATTTAATGTCACTTTCCTTTTTCAACAGCTGGTTTTCTTCACGCAGGCTACAAAAGACGCAAACTCAGTCCATTATAAAATACAATGTTTTGTTATTTTTTAAATTTAGCCTTCATATTAAACTTTGGTTTCAGTGGTCTGCATGGTTTAATCCGCAGATTTACGCAAAAATAACATCAGTCTGCACGCGCTAAATAAAATCTATTTGCGGGAAAATAGACACAAACACAAGGCAGAAAATACTCAAAATGCCCAAATCACACAATTTATGATATTTACAGATTAATGTCTACATGTCTTCAAAGCCTCAGTGATTAACTTTGATCCACCGGCCGTGCGTAATTTCAACATGACTTTGGATTTGGCACTTGGAAAAGAACCTGTTTGCGTCTGTTTGGACAAGACATGAAGACACTACCAGAAGCCTAAATTTTATAACAGTGCTCCGGATCAGCTGCAAATAATAATTTCATAAAATGTAAAAAAATCAAAAACAAATAAGCAAACAAACAAAACAAAGCAGGAAAACAAAAATCAACGCACRATATTGGTCTGTTGAACATCTCAGCTCTGCAAAAAAAGCGATTGTTTCTCATGTAGATAAAAATAGATAAAACCTGTAAAATAAAATATTTACCTATCTTTTATTTCATGTTTTAATCTACAGAAGACAAAATTCATTTTTAGTGAAAGGTAATAAAGAAGAGGAGCCTGTTCCTTCCCGTCCTTCTGTTTAGACGCGCGAGCTTCTCTTCAAAAAAGGAAGGAGCGTGATTCCAGCTCTCTGTCATGATCCGTGCTTTTCTTTTCTTTTTTTTCAGTGATTCGGTTCATTTTGTCGTGATGTTCCTTGTGCTTAGTTTGTTTTGTTTCTCAGTGTCTCCTTGTTTTATCAGCTTTCAGCCATGCCTTCCCTCAGCTCCTCTGCTGCTTCCACTGTTCWTCTGAAACCTTCTGACACCACAAACCAGATTAATCCAAGGGATTAAATGACCAGTTTAACACGTGTTTTTAACTTGTAAATAATTTAACAGATAAAATAGACAAAATAATCTGTTAAATCACTGATTATTATTCAGAAACAGAAGAAAAGAAGACAAAAAAAATTTTGCAACATGCAACCCTATGTGTTTAGGAAAAATATAAAAATACTTTTTTGTTGATTTTTTTGTTTTTTAATAAACAAATAGGCCTATTTTATTTTGAACATACAAACAAAGAGTTTGCATCAGCCAAATTTGATACTGAATGCCACAATTTTAAATGTTAAAAATATTTATTAATCAGAATTTGTCCCATTTTCATTGGAAAATAGCTTAAATTGTATAGAAAGGATGTATTTATCCATTTATTTTTCAGGTGAGCGGACAGATGTGTGGTCCTGTGTTTTATTGGTGTGCATTTAATATACTTCTAATCTCTTTTTCAATCTTTCCATCTTTCTAATCTCTCTGTTTTTCTCTCTTTCTCTATTTTCTCTTCCCTTAAAAAAGTCACTGATGATGAAGAAATAAATAAACTAAATAAACTAATATTTGGTTTCGTTTTCTACTGAAGTGACACAAAAAAGAGAGAGAAAAAAAGGAAAATAGCTTAAAGGCTTTAAGTTAAATTAGTTGTGTTTTTGCCATCAGAATGAAAACTGGGATCCTTTCTATACAATTTAAAAACAAATTAGATATTTACATGCAGACCAGACTGGCTACACAAATGAAACAGTTTTGAGATGAACATTTTCACTTGTTTGGAAAGAAACAGTGTGTGGATAAGAAGACTATGCTAAAGATGTAGTGGCAAATGCATTCAAAACTGAATAAAATAAAAGTAAAAACTAGGCTACTGTTTAATTGGCAATACAAAAGTATTAAAAGGTGTAAACAAACAAACAAACAAACAAACAAACAAACAAACAAACAAACAAACAAACAAACAAACAAACAAAGAGGGCCTCATACTGCACATCCAAAAATAATAAT